TTGGGTTTGCTGCGACAAACATGGAGAAAGAAACCCCACACTGCAACATTTTCCTAAAGGCTGGTAGCTATGAAAAATGCCAATCTCTCCAGAACAAACCTCAGCTAAGAAACAGCCAACCGTAGCTGAAACTTTTGCGCAAAGCACCACATATAAGAGGAAAGGAGCACAGTACAAAACAATCACAGAAGCGGTCGCTTTGAACTAGGCTTGTCCCGATCCGATACGCCGATATTGGCAAAAAAATGCGTATCGGCAAAGCATGTAAAATGCCGATCCAGTTTTAAAAAAAAAAATCCGGTCCGTATTTTCCAGTTTCGCTGATTGAAACGATCCATTCCACTATTTTGCGCCAGTGTTACTCTGTTTTGCATTTTTATTAAAACTTACAGTAATACTTGCACCTTTAACTGTTTACAGTTTTACTGCTCACTGTGCAATTTCAGATTGCTATTCATAATTTTGTCCAGTTTGTGTTTATCTCTTAATAAACAGGTAAGTTTGTTGTTACCAAGCATTGTGTTTTATTCAATCTCACCTAATTTAGCTGGCTAGATGTTATCAAGAGTACTAAAACCCTTTTCAACATGAGTCTTACAACTAAGGCTAAATACTTTAACTTAAACTTAAATACATGCTCGGATAGGCTGGTATCGGCCAGTATCGGTATCGGATCGGAGGTCCAAAAACAATATCGGTATCGGATCGGAAGTGCAAAAACCTGGATCGGGACATCTCTACTTTGAACATAGTTGAAGACATGGCGCCCATATATACCATGGAAAAGACCGGGTTTATAAATATGATTAAAACCTTGGACCAAGCATTTGGACCGGAAACGTTTGTGGAATGTAGGGTAATTAACAAGATAGTTATCATTAGGTATTAGGATGGGACTTTTCTGATGGTTAAAAAAAAAAGATTTTATGAGGTGATTTTCTCATTATAGAATGTTTTTTTTTATTAAAATGCTGGATTAATTTTTATCCGTATACCCTTACGGACAAATGGAATATAAAAAAAATCTAAGATTGGACTTATAATATAGCCTCAGGAACGCTTCACAGGTAGGAAGTCGAAGATTTCTTTTTTATTTTCTGATTTAATACGCCGCTATATCTTTATTAATAGTTCCTTTGTGCTCATGTTGTCCATAAAGTCAACATGATGGTCGAATGATGGTCGGTGGAGAATCTAAGCTTTCTATTTAATGTAAATATGTACAACAGAGCGCCAGTGGATGTTAATAAGTAGGTGGGAGAAAATCGGGGAAAAAAAAGAAATAAAACAATCTGAGATTTTATATTTAGACCATATTGCCCAGCTCTGATAAATATAATGTCTTTAATTGGATAGGGAATAAAGAAAACTTCTGAATATAAACTGTAGACTTGGAGCACCAAAACAGGGGGAAAATCCTAATTTCTTTAAACTTTCTGCTCCATTTGCAATTGCATGTTAACCTAGGGTCACAAACATAAAAAATAAAAGAAAAAATATTCTGCAGCAGTATTAACAGCATGAGCAAGATTAATACATTGGCCTTCATCTAAGTCGCTAATGTAAACCTCTGGGCAAAGGGTATAGATGGCTGCTCAAACACAAATGTCAGTGACAGGGATATCTGTTTTTTTTTGTTTGGTTTATAATAGTGCCTTTAGAGCTCACTAGTAATGCCTTCACATGGCTGCGTCGGCGCACAGACACAGCAAGGTTGCTACAGAGGGAGCAACTCCCACATGGTCACGATTATCGCCTCGATGGAATATGATATTTCTTTTCTGGAGACTGGCAGTGAGAGACGGGACAACAGAGCATAGGCCATTACCTTCCAGTCGTGTCCTTGCTCTGCAGCAATATCACTGTGCTGTTATATAAACGATCAATATATCCTCACCGATCGGCCCATCTGGCCTCTCATAAAACTGGTGATCGACTTCAATCAAAAAGGAATCCAATTTGAACTCGTGTGAGGTGACTCAGAAGGTGAAGCTAAACAATGTGATGAGTATTTAATTTCCTTTTGACCTTAGTGATCAGAGACAGCTTTGTGTTTGAGATACAAGAGTAAACATATCAAACAACACTTTAAAAATCATAGTTTTCTGGTCTTTGTTTTAGCCAAACTAGATTTAGACTTGGTTAATATAGTTTATAATAAACTTAATATAGTTTATGATTAAACCTGAAAAACCTGAGAAGCTGGATTAGCTTTTATATGCCTTTCCGCATATCTTGGCTATTTTTGTTTGCAACAGATGAGTCTATTTAAGCACTATGTAAATTAGAACAGAAAAAGAAAGCTTGGTCCATCAGAGTGCCTCATGTTGGCAAACTTCTGCCTTAAGTTACAGGTTCACTATTGTGAGGATATCCCAACTAAACCAAAAATTAGATATTAGTTTTAGGCTATAATTTGCCACATTAATTAAAAAGCTCTTTCAAAGCCATTTGATCATTTGGATTATGTTAGATTAAGTATTGTAAATGAGTAGGATCCTTCACACAGAGACAATAAGCACACAGCACCTTGAATGTGAGCTTGAAGTAAGCAGGTTTATACACAGAAGTCCTTCAACAATGTATTCTAGACAAGACAGAATTATTTTCATGAAAATAAGGCAGCAAAAACAAACTGCATGGCTAAATTGCACAGTAGATTACAAGAAAAGATCACACAACTTTTAGAGGAAGCTTAAGTCCTATCTCATTGATCTTTTTTTCTAAATATAAAACCCATGTTTTTATAAAACTCAGTGTTTACAGTTTAATTGTTTGGCTTGAGCAGAAAGTTGATTGAAATCGTGTTTGTATGCTTTCCCTGAAAGGCTTCCTCCAGATTAAGTAGCAGGTGGAGTCCAATCACAAAGATAACTGTGTGGGTCGTGCACTTTGAAATGCTACACCGGATATGATTATTGGAAAGGGTAGGTGATATGAGAAAACAAAAAAGCAACTTTAATGTGTTTCATAGGTCTGCATCTAGAGTAAATAGGAAACCCTTTAGGGTGGTAAAGTTTGCATATGGGTGCAGACACATAGGAAATATTCCAAATTTTAGGACATTACCAGAAAAACTTGAATAAAATTTGATGAACGGGCATATAATTGCTAAATAAATGGAAAGTGATGCATAATTCTCACAATTTAAGTTCTTAGGCTTCCAGGACATGAAAAATACTACTTTTTGTTGTTGTTTTTAAACGGCAAAGAGCAAAGCAATCGAAACTACAAGCAATTAAGTTATGTTTTGCTGCTTAAACCTTTTTGGACAAAAACAAAAAACTAACTTTATTTCAGCCACACCAACAAACACATTAGACCCTTTTTAGGGAGGTGTATTATATTAAAATTACACAATAAACAAGTAGACTACAATTATATGCCACTTTGTTCATATTAAAGGTTGCTAATTCTTTGTTATATAAGATTTTTTTATTTATTTATAACTGTGTTTGATGTGGATTTCTAACAGGTATCTGAGGAAAATCTCATTATGGTTTCATTCTTATACGACTCTTGATTCATAGGTCTTTATTCAGAGTATAGAGGAAACCCTTTAGGGTGGTAAAGTTTGCATATAGGTGCAGACACCTTGGAAATATTTCAGATTTTAAGTCATTACCAAAAAACTTGATTAAAATTTGATGAGCCACATATAATTGCTAAATAAATGAAAAGTGATGCATTATTATTGCAATTAAGAAAGTTCTCAGTTATCCAGGACATGAAAAATACTACTTTTTGTTGTTTTTCTTTTTTCAACCAGCGAAGAGCAAGACAAAGAGCAAAACAACTGAAACTACAAGGAATATAGTTATGTTTTGCTGCTTAAACCTTTTTGGATAAAATCAAAAACTTTACTTTAGCCACAATAACAAACACATTGGGCCCTTTTCAGGGAGCTGTATTATATTAAAATGAAACAATAAACAAGCAGACTACAATTATATGCCACTTTGTTTAGATTAAAGGTTGATCATTCTTTGTTGCTCATCATTATGTTTTTTTCATTCTTATCCGACTCTTGATTCATAGGTCTGTATTCAGAGTATAGAGGAAACCCTTTAGGGTGGTAAAGTTTTCACATGGGTGCAGACACCTTGGAAATATTGCAGATTTGAATTCATTACCAAAAAACTTGATCAAAATTTGATGAACGGGCATATAATTGCTAAATAAATGAAAAGCGGTGCATTATTCTCACATTTAAGAAAGTTCTCAGGCATCCAGGACATGAAAAACACTACTTTTTGTTGTTGTTTTTTTAAACGGCGAAGAGCAAAACAACTTAAACTAAAAGGAATAAAGTTATGTTTTGCTGCTTAAATCTTTTTGGATAAAAAACAACTTTATTTTAGCCACACCAACAAACACATTAGGCCCTTTTCAGGGAGCTTTATTATATTAAAATTAAAGACTAATATTATATGCTACTTTGTTTATATTAAAGGTTGCTCATTCTTTGTTATATAAGCATTTTTTTATTTATATATGTGTGTGATGTGGATTTTTAACAGGTGTCTGAGGAAAATCTCATCATGGTTTCATTCTTATACGACTGTTGATTGTAAGATTGACTGCACACATTAGATATTTATGCCGACTTATCTATAAATTTCAAATAAATTAAATAAAGCCTGTTGCTTTTAAGTGATAAAAACGAAAATCATACTTTCTCAAGGTTATTGTCATTCCTGGAGCCGTTAAGTCGTCCCTGGAGGGCTAGCTAAAAATGTTAGCTAGCTCGATTTACCTGTTAAATAGGAAGGTAGCATTTTTATTTTTAGCTGCGAAGCTAATCTGCTTTTATTTATTCGACAACATAAAATGGAATATAAAATAATATGTCTATATATAACAGCTCGTAAATATGAAAGCCGTGAAGAAGAGGCGACGGGCCAAAAAAGGCGGATATGAATATAAAAATAAGCTTTTTTTAATTTATTTTTTATTCTGTGGTGTCGCAGAGAGGTAAAATAAAAAAGAAAGGTTCTTACCCAGCACGTAAATCGTAGCAAAGTTTCATGAACACTGAGGATCCCTCCGGTGCTGCTTTTATCCTTCCGTACACCTGCTGCTTCTCAAATTAGCGTCTATCTGTCTGCCCGCCTTCCTCACTACGACGTCTGCTTTCCAGGTCCCTCCATCCCTGCAATGTCCGCCGCCGCTCTCCGCTCAGCACCGTCAAAACGACTGTATCCTCCCCGGGGGTTATCGTTAGACAGCGGGCAGCCTCGTCATTATAACAGGAGAAAACGCAAATAATGTTTAGAAAAGGAGAAAAAAAATACCAGTTGCGTCGTTCTCGGACAGTGCCGTTATAACCCGCTATAAAGAGACAAGCCGTGCCCTGTTTCTTCTTCTTCTGGTTGATATCACCGAAACAAGTGGGGAGATTTTCTTAAAGGGGCCGCAGCCGATTTACTGGCGCTCCCGTGACGACAGGATGTGTGTGCTTTTTTTTGGGGGGGGTGCTCTCTACCGCCTCCCCGTGGCCGCTTTTATTATGTGTTAAGTGCCATATCTAAATATAAATACAGAAATAAATGAATTCTCAATAAATAAATAAGCATTCGATTAGTTGCCTCAAAAAATAATATGTAAACAAATAAATGCTCAGACCCAGCCCTCCTAATTTGCATAATGAAGCAGAAATGCATACAGAAATGTAAAAACGACAGAAGAAATAAATAGCGTTGAAGAAATAAAAAGGGTAAAAAAAATACAAAGGCAGAATAAAACAGAAAAAATATTATATCATGCACTTACATAAATACTTAAAAATATAAGTAATAAATAAATAAAATTGAAGATTATAACACACAATAAATATATAAGGTAATTATTACAAAGGCAAATAAATAAAGAAGTGAATTAAAAGAGATATACACATTTATATCTCACTGTGTAATTTAATTTCTACCTACATTTATTTGTTTATTGTATTTTTGGGGGCAATTTAATTCTTATTTATTTATTGAGCATTTTATTATTTTTGTATTTATTTTTAGATATGACAGAGTTGGTACTCCACAGTGGATAAGATGGCAGAGAAAAAAAAGTGATCAAACATATACAAATAAAAATTTAAATATTAATCTATTAATTATTACAGAGCCTCCAAGCGGAGAAGGTGGGGAAGAATATTAGCTAGGAAAAATGCTGTAAAAGTATTAGGGGGAGAATAAAAAATCCTAGATTAAAAAAATTGAAAAAAGAAAGGAACCCAGGGGGCATAATTAGGGGGAAATATTAGGGGCGAGATAAATATAAAAAACACAGGAAAAACTAGTCACACAGAGGGGGTAAAATATATAGGGGATCAGTGAGATAGAAAGAATAAAATAAAGTTAACATCTATCAGGACATTGTGGTGTAATAATATGGACAGGGCGTAAAATCATCCATAAAATATTTAATATTTTTTAAATAAATATCTTTTTCAAATATTAGTGTTTTCCTTTGTAAGTTTTGCGTTATTCTCAAAAACTAAACCTAAGTGTTGACTTTATATTTTTTTATCTATATACTTTTTTTCTTTTTCCACCCCTAATGTATGTCTCCCACCATTGCATAGCTCCCTTATAAATGATATGTGGATTTCCCTTCAAATTGGTCTATGCATCTTTTGGTAATAGAGTATTTTCATTAGAAACCATTGATCATCATTTCACATTACCACTGTTTTTTCACAGTGAGTTCATTTAGTTACAAGGATCATCATACTTACTTAAACCAGTGTCTCTAATTATTGATTTGCAATAATTAGAAAGGCCATAACCCACAGATTGAGATTTTCCAAACCTTTATTTTCTTTCTCAATTGTCAAAACATTGCATTTTAATTTGTTTTGGACATGAGGACTACAGGAAAGCATTTCCAGCATCCACATTTCTTGATGCAACAGGATGTTCTGTAATGCCTCTACGCTGAGATCTTGGCTGTGTGTTTTGGGTCATTGCAGCAATCCGAGGTTAAGAATGTGCTGGGGCATTTTTTTTTTTTTTAATCCAGGATTTCTGTGTTTATTGCTGCATTCATCTTCCTCTCTATCCTGACTGGTTTGGCAGTCCCTGCTGCTGAAAAACATCCCCCATAGGATGATGCTGCCACCACCATGCTTTGCTGCAGGAATGGCATCACCCTGCAGTGCTTGGTTTTCTCCAAATGTGGATTTTGCACCAAAGAGTTTATTGTTTGTGTTATCAGACCAGATATATGTTTATTTTTTTCTCATGGTCTGAACATCTTTTAGGTGGTCTGGTTGGTTCAAAATGTCCTCTGAACGAAGAGGCCTAATTGGGACCTGATTTGTGCCTTGAGACAATCCTGTCTTGAAGGTCTACATCGTTTCACTTTATGGATGGTGTCTTTCCCAGTCATGTCCATTCTGATTTTACCTAAGTTGAAATGTATTTATGCTGTTGAAACATGTAAACAGTATGCGCCTAAGGTCAATTTTAAGCTTAATAAAAAAGGCTGTGAATACTTATGTAAATGTCATTTCTTAGCTTCATATTTGTGATTACATTTGCAAAAATCTAAAAAGAAAATACATAGGACTAACAAACAGCGTGTCATTTGTGCACTTATACAGGTGGAAATATGAATTTTTGGTTCCTAAATCAAAAAAAGGAGAACAAAACAGGAGTAATAACACTTACCCGTGGTTACCAGTAAGTATCAGAGGCAATGTACCCTCATTGCACTCTCTGTGCTCGATCTGTTAAGAACTCGCTTTTACCAAATGAATAATGTCGCTATTATATCACAGAGCCTTTGACAAAGCTGAACTACAATCAATTAATAATAACCTGGCATTAATCCCAGGCTGCTACAGATGTTAGCAGACTCCATTTATCAAGGTCAGTGCAGCATCTGCACTACCTCTGTTATGCAAATAGATTTGGGCCAAAAAAATACTCCTACACAAAAATAAAATGTGTTAGATTTCCAGTGTTGGTATTATACCCATGTTATATGTGGAACTGGACAGCCACTGAAAGTCAGACTAGCTCTGTGAGCCAGGTGAAGCAAGTGGACCTCACTTCTCTATTAAAATGGGTGTGCAAACAACAACAGTAGACTTCTAAGTTGTGCTTCTGTTTTAGAATCTATTCAATATACTCTGTAGTTAATGCTACTTTTTTTTTTTTTTTTTGCCGTGGGGCGACAGTGCTGTAGGGAGAAGAAAATTAACAACTGAAGGGTCACCAGTTTTATCAACTGGGCAAGATGCTTCTCTCACCCTGCCTGCTGATGGTAGAATAGAATAGAAATCAGCTTTATTGTTAGTATAGAGCAATGAAATAAAATCTCTGGACTAAGGACCAGTCAGCTGCTATTGTGCAGCAGCTTAGGGTTGAGGGTCTTGCTCAGGGACCCAGAGTGGCAGCTTGGAGGAGTGAGTGGGACTTGAGATCAGGACCTCCTGGACCCAAGCGCAGTGCTCTAACCACTAGGACACCACTTCCTGGTGTTACCTATTAGATCAAAGTCCCTGTTTCTGCCCCAGTGCAACTATGGCTACAAAGTAACTTGCCACCACCTGAGTGTGAACAATTAACCCCAGTGGTAACTTTTTGCACTATGCACTAGTGTTAGACAAATTCAACCCTAATATGTGATAAAAATAAAAATTAGGAGTGTTGTTTCAACTCTGTCACAGTGTTTACTATTAAACACTTTTAGAAGTGTTATTTTAACTGTGGAACAATAAAGACACTTTAAACGTTTTAATCTTCCAAAATTGCCATATATTATGTGATACAAAACACATCTACATAATCCTCCCTTGCTGTAAAATGAATCAAGAGCACATGGAAACTGACCATAAGAAAATGCCTTTTTCAAGACTGTATGACATCCAAACTAGTTATGCTACAAAAAAACCTATAACTAAATTGCCACTAATGAATTATATTGCCTTCATGTAGTGGCTGTAGAGGGCCTGTTATGTTGCTCCAGATTTTCACTTTAATTTACCACATTTTTAACAAATACCAACATCTACACCCAAAAAAAATATTCAACCCCCTCTTTAAGGTGACCCAATTTCTTACCATTCATAATACTTAAAGTAAATGGTTTAATTTATTTAGGAATATTTAACTGATATTACACAATATGTTTGAATATTTAATGTATGATGCAAAGTAACGTAAAATTCTTGAGTTCACTAAAAGTTTAATCTTGTGAGTCTTTTAAGTGAACTCAAGAATTTGAGGTTACTTTGCAATGCTCTTGATTACTTCCTTTAATTGTCGGACCACTTTTCCCAGAGAACGAGTCAGTATGGCAGGTAATTCTACATCTAAAAGAGTTAGATGTAGAATTACCTGCCAATAGGTAACACCAGGGAGTGGTGGCCTAGTGGTTAGAGCATTGCGCTTGGGTCCTGGAGGTTCTGAGCTAGTTTATGGCCAATTCCACACAGATTAAACCATAAGTTATCTTGAGGCCAAGATCCATTATCACAGGCAGCTAAATAATTTTGACGATGTGACATGCATGCATGTTTGTTAAAAAAAAAACAGTTTTTGCTCTTAAAGTAAATACAATTGAGTTGATAAAACCAATTAATCTGTCATTGGGTTACCTAAATGCTATGAGGTAGTTGAACATAACTTAATTCATTGCAGGCACAAATATATGTCAACAGAATTTGATTTTATTAAGTTGAACCAATCAAACTGTCACGGTTTAGGTTGGTTGGTTGAGGACCCATAAGCAGAGACCAGGAGGCTGACGTGAATCTTGTAAATTTAATGAGTAACTGAGACAAAATACAAAAATACAAAGAAACAAATAATCATGTGCTGGGCCAGAGATGAGGAAGCAACTAAAAGCAACTACACTAAAACAAGGAACCAGCACTGAGTGACTGCAGAGGTGGAGTATATAAGGGGAACAGAACAAAGGATGGGCTAATGAGCTGATTATGGAGCAGGTGATAGTGGAACTAACTAGAAGGAAGCCAAGGGGAAAGGAAACAAGCACAAGGAGGCAACAGAGTAACTGAATACTGCTTGAATATAATGGAAAATAAACCAAAGATCAGCAAAACAGAGTAATTAATAACTGAAAACTCCCCAAAAGGGGAGAACCATAACACAAACATATCAAAATCAATTTTCTTTTAAACGAAAAAAAAAAAAAAAATGCGTTAAACGGACTCACTGAAATTACACCATACAGATTAATGTTGATTTGGTTAAGCAAGCAAAAATGTATTGGATGGAAAAACTGCCATCAATTAAATTAAGTTAATCCAATGAGTCGTTTTTATGGTTACAAATGTAGCCTCCTCGTTTTCATCAGCTGCTTTTTTTTCACACCAACATTCGCATCTTGTATGATTTGTGTTTTGTTCA